TCGAATTGATACCAATTTTATTCCAATCTCTCTCTGAAAGTTTCATTTGCTTACAATCTCGAAGCTTGAAAAAAAACTAAGTCCTAAAATATTTGCTTTTTTAGAACATTATTCGTAAGAGAATGCAACATCTTGAGGATGACTGAAAAAAGATGGTATTGATTCGATCTGAATACAATCAAGAGAAAAGATTCTCTCAAAAAACGACCAAAGTAAGTTTCCAAATTGGTCTCGAAAACCTTAGAAACGTTTGTCTAGGAAAAAATCGATCTCTGAAGCTCAGAAACCCTTGAAGGCTTTCAGATAGTGACAAAATCGGAAACCTTGAAGGATGTCTGTGTTTGCCATTATCTAGAACCCTTTAAGGGCTTCTGAAGTTATGAAATTCATTTTTCCCCTTTGGAAAGCCTTTTTTTAGTGTGTAATTTCAATTTACGTTTCAACGACTATCTTTTGAGTTGTCGCTCTAGAGATCACCGTGACAGAAAAGCACAACTTTTGATGTGTACACAGAGAAAGAAAAATAAAACAAAAACTCGAGACGAAGTATATCAATGTTGTGCTCCTCACAGCATTAATGGTATTCGACGATAATTAGAAAGAATTTTCTTATCTTCTTTTCTTATTTTGAAAACAAATCAAAATGAGGACTAGGATAATAATTTATTGTTGTTTCGTAATGTGTGACCATTGATTAGTAACAAGTATTTTTAATGCTTTTCATTCTTGTTCATCATGTGGTAAGGAGTCTTCGACAATATTGGATTTCATATTAAAACCTGCGATGCTTATTATGATTGTACATATAGCCGTATTAACCATGTATAAGATATTAAAATAAGTGTAGGATTAAGGAAAGCAACTACTTAGATTACATATGAACAATCGAATAATATTTGACTCATAAATGACCAATCCCCAAAACCCCATACTAAATACACATAAGTTGGATATCATTCTTAGAACTAGTTTCGAAAAAAATTATTGGAGAATGATTCTCAACGAGAGAATATTTCCACTTACCTTGGGCAAGAATAGTGTCAGTTTGCAAGTGGTAGCATTCTTGTAAAGGGAACGGCGAAAACAGACAAACAAAAACATGATTTTAGTCTATGATGTAAAAAGTACAAAATGAACTTCGAAAAACAAACATGTTCTGCATAAATTGTCAACAAGAATTTATTTGCACATATTATTTATCAAATGATTTATATCTTTTATTGCAAGAGCAAATTCATATAAAAGTCTAATAATTTCATAACTTTAATAAAATCATACGAAAGATATTGGTTATGCAATTAATTAATGAAGAATTGATTTACTTACGAGTTTCATTATTTTTCCTAATAGTTTCAAAAATTTTAACATTCTATTTGCTAATTATGGGTGTCCTGAATGGAAGAGAGGTCGGTTGGGTGTCCTGTTCCCAATCTTGGTGACATTAGAACACTCCTATTACTAATATTATATCCTTCTAATAATTATCTGGTCACGGTCGTATCAAAACATTGGCTAATGTCTATGCGTATACGACCATTTATCATATCTGTCACATTCAGAATGTTATCCTATAGATATAATAAAATATTAAATTGTAGCATTATTCACTACTTCCTGTACTATTGCCATTTATATGTATGAGTATACAACAAAAAAAAATAACTTGAATCTAATAATAGTTATTCATCCAGAAAATCGAAAATATTTTCTTTGAATTCCTCAGTAGAATTTTTGGCGATATGATCAAAATATAGTAAATTTATACGAGTAGTTTTCATATGCATGGGATTAGTTGTTAAGAGACCTATTTTTTATCGAGACTTCTTACTCAATTATATAAACTCTCAAAAATACCAATGACTCATTTATAGCCTTGCTAAAGGAAAACAAATCTTCGTTTTGACAAAAATTTCTAAAAAATTGCCTTAGCCTTTTTAGTAAATTTTTTCGATTGTGAGTTTTGTTATATGATAATTAATCGATAAAAATCTTCAATATGCTGTATCTTGTAGACACTTTGGTGACCTACAACATTACGAAAAAGTACATAAGAGGTTAAATCGATCGACTAGTGGCGTGACGCAGAATCTTCAAGTGGTTAAACACTGTCTTTCTGGCTTTTTGTAAGTGTAATTACGATTATGTAAATAATTTCTTTGTTATGTAACTAGAGTAACAATAGCAGTTTTTCTTTCAGAAATAGATCTAAAAATAATATTGCACTCATTTTGAATCTATAACTGATAAGTATATTGTATCATTATATTTTCGAACGAACATCTAACTAAGCTAACGAAAAGTCGTTACAAGCGATTTTTAGTAAATTATCTCTATTACTGACGCTTAATTAGAAGTTGTAGGTATTTGAGGCAAAGAACTCTTCCTCTCGTCAACTGGAGTTTTTCCTCTTTCTCGAATCAATCTAATGAATCCTTTATCAAAAGTGTATATAAATGCTATTTGGTTATTTGTGAATTTAATGAAATTTATTATTTAATGCTACCTGTTTTTGCAAGGCACTATATTTATATTCGCAGTAAATACCAAAAAGTGAATAATAAGCAAGCTAGACTTGTTTTGTTTTTATCTTCGAAAATAAATGCGTAAGATCCTTTCTGTTTTTATTGTATCGTATTCCACGCATGACTTATAAGAACCTTGCTTTTTCCTAAGTTAATTTTTAAAATTCTGTTAACGAGACACAAGTACCTTAGTTTGGTTTTAAAATTGCACACAATAAAAAGTACCACAAGATAAATTCAAATAATCAATATCAGAAAAAATAATAGAACAGAAAGATGGATTATCCACGAATGAATTTTATTATGTAGCGAATAAATTTTTTCTAATATCTTTAATAAAATAAATGCATGGTCACAGCCATGACAAGAATAGCTGAACACAAAATCGGTTTCTATTCTATGTCTTAATTATAGAAGCCTTGAATATAACTGTGAATAAAATAAAGTCTCGAATTCGTCTCTCCCGTTTAAAGATAACTGGTTTGAGCTGAAGTTTCATCTTTAGAAAATAAAGATGATAATATGTGTAACATTAATATCATCTTGTTCAGACTCTGTTATCTATAACAATACATCGTTAATCGAAGGAAAATATTCAACTCTGCATCCTTTTTGTTGAAGATTAGTCGAAAATGAGCTGAATAGACTATGTTTTATATCTTCATCATCTAGCTGATTTTTTTTTTGAAAGTATAAGCCTTATAAACTAGCCTTCGCAAAACTTTGTTCACATGTCAGTTGTAATATACATGACTAAGAAAATTACTTACACGTGAAACGACAGTCCATCAGTAACTATCAGTACAACAGCATTCATCTTTTTTAACAAATGAATTATAGGACCTTAATAGTTGTAGAGATCGAGTTAAGATTTTAATAAAGTGCAAAAAGACGGTAAATGGTTTGCATTCATTTTGACTCCATCTTCTTACAAACTGCAGGGTGATCGGGTGTCGGTGCAATATAATAGATCAACAGAGGAGAGCAAATATAGTAGAAAAAAACATAAAACTAGAAAAATGGAGTTCGTATTGCGAACATAAAAAAGCAAGCACAGAACAATAAAATAACCGAAATCAAAATCAAAGCTAAAAAGCATGAATACATCATTCACCAAACAGTCCTATCTCATGGGAGTTTAATCATATATCTGTAGCTTTTCGAGTTGTCATACTCATATTGATCGGTAAAGATCAATAAAAAGTTCGCTGATGATCTGAAGTGAACTTGACGAGCATTGTCATAAGTGTCACTTCGAAACATCTGAAATAAATGTACAAATGATCGAATAAAGTGTACTCATCTGAGATAGAAAAAAAAGTGAAAAACTCCAAGCAAAAAAACTCGAAAATGAAATAATAAAAAATTTCTCTACACGTAATTGAATTGTTATGCAACGTTCGTATGTAAGTAAAATTTTTAGCATAGAGGTTTTAGATGGACTATTGTTCAAAACATAATTAAATAAGATTCCATAATAACAGTAGTATAAAACTTGAAGCTTGAATTCAATTGAAATTTCAAGTTTCAAGTTTTCCAGTTTTGAAATTTTCTGGATTACTATGTACATAGAGACGTGCATGGTTCGTGGCTCTTCGAGGTGCGCTTCGCGTCCCCACATCGCGACACTAACATAAAGGTCAGTTAGATAGGGAAAAGCACTTATCCCCGTCGCTCTGAAAACTTGAAATTTCAATTGAATTCAAGTTTTAAGTTTTATATGTATGAATGACAATGGCCTATTTCACTGCAGTCTTCTGAGTGACTCAACTGACTTTTTGAACTTTAACTAGTAGCCACAGGTGAATGATAAGAAAAGTCTTGATTTTAGCCATGAAACATAACAGAACTGCCATTTTTCAGCTCATGCGTAAGTATTCTAATGATCATATACGACATGCAGTAAGTACTCCCTTGTTGAATACAGACGCTGTCGGTCGCTATATGAATCATCTAGCTTCTCGCTCAGCAGTTTTTTGCAATTCTGTGAATAAGTCTACATAAAATCATGCATCGCAACATGTTTCTATCAACAGCCAGTCAAGTGTTTGCTGAATCAACATAATCGAAAACATCTGATTCATACATCTCACGTTACTAATTTTTCTTCATAGATTAGGCCACTAACTGCGTCTGTTTTTTCTTTCTGCATACAAGATATTTTAGCATTTGTATCAAAAAAAGTTTTATAACCATGATTTTTTTTTCTTGTTAATTAACGCGCAGTAGCATAGCAAACTTCTACATGTCATTCCGTGTTGCAGAATTAAACAGCAAATTGAAGACACATGATTTAAGAAGTTTATGAAATCGTAGAAAAAGGTTTGTATATCTCTTATAAAATTGTATTTGATTGAAATCTGCCAACAAAATGACTGCTGTACTCTCGCCTTACAAAACATGAACGAAATCAACTCGAAAGTTCGTCGATTTTTTTCTAGATTACGACGAATTTTATAACATATAAATTATTTCAATATGGCAAAACCATATAATAACAACGAGGAAATCGGTGGCATCTCATCTGGTAACACACACAATGCCTCTTGTGATAGCTGTCGATCAGCTAAGATCTACAGTGATCGATACAAATGTTTACAATGTATTGATTATGATTTATGTGGTCACTGTTTCGAAGAACGACGTGAAACACGACCACACTCGAGTGGTCATGCAATGGTTCATTTTAAAATACCTAATGAATTATTCGGTCAGCACGTATCTAGCTCAAATGATATTACGTTAGCGAAATTGAATGAGCTTCTTGCGGGCAAAAAACATAACACTAAATGTGATGGTTGCTCGATGCAGATTATTGGTACTCGATTCAAATGCGATACTTGTCACAATTACAATTTATGTTCAAAGTGTATGCAACAGCGAGTGACCAGTAAAAGTCATAAAAATACTCATCCACTAGTTGCTGCAAGCAATCAAAGTCTACTCAAAATAGATATAAATGATATTCTCAAGAGTGACGTGCTTGGTCATGGAGCATTCGGTGTGTTCTCTCATGTTGTTTATTTGTTTGTTTGTTGAAACATTTTTTTTTATAGGTCAAGTTTATAAGGCCATTTGGTTATCGAAAAATCGTGAAGTAGCATGCAAAGTAATTCGAGTGACAGCACATCGACGCCATTTGGAAGATAGTTTTCGAAAAGAACTAAATGCTTATGCTGAACTATCAGGTGCTTACATTCTCAAAACATTTGGCTATGGAGAACGTCTGATAGCCAATGGTATCAAAGAATGTTATTTGATAACCGAATTGATGCATCGCGGAAGTCTTTCAAATGTCATTCACAATGGTATTGAGAAAATTTCACTTCGACGTAAATTGACCATGGCATGCCATGTTGTTAGTGGTATGCGCAAGTTACACGCTCACACAATGATTCATCGTGACATCCGTCCCGACAATATTCTTGTCTCAAGTAACTACACAGCTAAAATCGGTGATATGGGTATAGCTCATGTCTTCAATCCGGAAGAAAAACACACATTAATAGGTTGTTTGCCATTTATGCCACCAGAGTTTCATAGGTAAACCATTGAAATTCGAGTAATAGGCAATGATGACTACTTTTTTATTTGTACAGAGGAGACGGTCAATATGATCAATCACTCGATGTGTTTACTTTTGGATTAACATTGAATGAATTGTTTACGGAGAAACTTCATCGATTCATTCAAGCCACTAAACGCATTCAAATTACTGAACAAAGTTCTATCTTTCTTGATCTGATTACTCGATGCATTCATCATGAACCAACTCAGCGGCCAACAGCTGTTGAACTTGAAGACGTGCTAAATATGTATCGACGAGCAGCAGAGAAATATATCAAGGAGAAGCATCCCAACTATACCAGTCAAACACTAGCAACGAAGGATGCCATTTTTGTCAAATTCTATGATGAATATCACAAACTACAGAAAGAGGAGCCTAAGCCAGTCTATTCACTGCCACCAAGACCACGTTTCAATTCGGATTTGATTCGTCAGTACTTCGATGATATGATGAAACAATTCAATAGTATTCGTCATCGTATTGGTTTTCGCCGATCAAAACATCAACAGCCAGCTCCGCAAGGCGTTCAAGGAATGAAATACTTCGACGATGCTTGCAATGATGATCATGATCAGGTCATCAAACTCGAGCCAATAAAAATTGATAAGCGACCAGCGCGATGTCCTAGTCCACCATCGAATTTTCCTCGAGCTCAAGAAGAGAGTCAACAGCAGTTTCTCAATGCGGTAAAACATCCACGATCACGTACACCAGTTCCTCTATGTCCACATTTCGACAATCAAATGCATCAGCAACATATTTTCCATAGAGCGGGTGCATTTCGGCCAATCAACGCTAACAATGACATTCATCAGCGCGTTATTGAATTTCATTTGAATGCCGGTTTTGATCAAAGTCCTAGACAGTTTCATCGCATGATGCATCAATTCCAATAGACATTGGATTTACCAGCATACGTATTATGATTGGAAGCGCCTTTCAGAAGATCGCTAGAAGTCTTTTGAAAATTAATATAAAACAGCAGATAATTTTAAGTTTTTAAAGAAACGAACAAGTCGTGTTTGTAACGTAATTAGTATTAAAGAGCAGTTAATTTAAAATTATATATACATTATCCAATTAAAATGAAATAATTCCACTAGAAAAAAGCCTTCTATCTATCCGATAGTTCATGCCAGTCACTCATTCACAGCAATCCGCTTCAGTTTCTATCAGTCGCAGAGTCTTAGTGATTTTTCAAACTTTTTTGCTATAGAGAATACACTCAATTGTTCTAGACCTGTATAGAATATCCTAATTTTTATTGTTTATTGAACATTACACCAAGATGTTCTAGATAAAGGAAACTGAGAAAGTCGCCAGATGTTTTGTTTGAAACTTAGTGTTCTTTATTCTTAACCTGAACAGACCAATGCAAATAAAACAATATTACGACTCTCTACGATTCGATCATTGCATATCTGCTTAGAATTAGAGAAAATCCATGATGATATCTCACAATTTTATTTCTCGAACTTCTATAAAGAGCTTGTCCATGCCTAAGGCACATCACAGGTTTCTACGAGACTTTTGCTCAAAATCACTTGGAATAATGTGTAGTTATAAATCCAAGAGAACGAATTTCGAATATGATAATCAAGTTTCACGAACCACAGTTATTTCAACAATAGTATGAGCCATCCTTTATTCCTCAAAAGCTTTTTTTTTTTATCTACCCGAGAGCAAACGAAGCACGAAGTTGCAGCGAAATTTATCTCATACCATTTATAATTTTGAGATATGTCCAGTCTAAACTTCTTGAGCAGAGAAAGAGTAGAGATTAAAGAACACAGGCGATTCCATGCGAAGTAAGACCGATTTTTGATCATTAAGTCCATCTTCATCGAAGCTCATACTAAAAGAATGCTTTTCGTAGGGCTAAGTTTGGTCAATTCAAGTAATCTGTCGAGCTCTATCCATTGATAGTCTTAAAACAAATCAAAAACATGTGTGAAAAGATCAAATATAAGCAATACTAACTATTATTAGATACGTTTTTCGATTGGTTTTTATTATGGTTGCTCGAATTACACGTGGGCGAGTGTAGATAAAGACAAGAAATGCGCTCAATGACCAACCCACTTAACCCTAAACCTAATCATAAAGACAATAGGAATAGTCGAAGACCCAATTTGAGCCATGGATTGTAATCATCTTCCAGCTTAAATTCATTGACCAATCAATTGTATTGAATACAAAAAAGATAATATTGCAATACTAGCCGATTGAAATAAAATTATCCATTGAGTCGATCGATTGTTCCATTGCACCGATCCATTAAACGAACACAGGTTGTTTTCTAGAATAGAGATGAACTTTTGATTTCACCTACCGATCAATTACATAACACTATTTCTAAAAGATGATTGTACAGTAAGTCTACGTGAATTTATCAGGAGAAAACTGATCTGAATGCTTGAGTTCTGTATTTTCAAGCTTCTGTTCATAGTGGTGTTGGTTTATGAAAGCGTGTCTCAAAAGTTCTGAAACCATTTTAGAATTTATTATGCTTGCATTCAACAAAATCACGCTCTTTGAAATATTGGCAAGTTAGTGTACCTAATTAATAGTAGATGATTCCAAGTGTCAGATCTATAGCTCTTTTAATGGATGAAAAATCGTAACAACGCTCCTATGTTTTAATTTTGGAAATTTTTCCTAGTATATTTGATTATGTTTTATAAAAGAATACAACTTTTCGAAATAAAAAAAGCAATTATTTTAGGTTATTAATGTTTATTAATTTAATTACTATGTTGATCGAGTGTTAATTGTCATCATATTGGTATTTTCTCTATCATTTACTGATGTGGAAAGCACTAAATTTGTTCTATTACTTTTTAATGTCGTTTTTTCAATTATTCAATATTAGTGCATTTCCACCCTCGTAATTTTTCTTTTAACACGTCCGAAACCTTTTGTATAGGTCAAACGTCGACTAGTTTGGCAGTCCAATTATTGGTTCAATCAGATTTTAAAAATATGTTTAAAAGCAGTCAAAACTGCCCATCAACTTAGTTTATCATCGTGATTATCTTCAAAAATAACATTTCATGAACCATCTGATTCTCAAGTCGCTTTTTCTACTACAATAGCTCACAAGAGTTTTGCATATCTATCATCCGAAAAACACATTTTCTTACAATGATCACGATCTTGTGGGCTGATAAGTTGTTACCACTCATCCATAAAAATTCAATTGTTTTGAAAATTTATCAATTTTTACTATTGGGAAAATGAAAAAAATAGTAAATGACAATGTTGTTAGCGGTTCTCACTCATAGTAAAGGCTATAGACCTTAAACTTTGCTCTTATATAATATTAAGTATGTACAATAACCAGCCAAAATGTCAAAGAGTTTGCTTTTGTTAAATGCCAAAGCGATAAATTTTAAAATTGTTTCAGAACTTCTGGGACACTCTGTATATGTAAATCCCATATATCATGTCTAGTAATTCATAAAAAGAGAATTAATGTTCTATTTTGATTTTGAATGGAGTACAATTTGGTGCTTATATCAATAGATACAGTCGGTTACTGGTACTCAGATACCAGTAGAATTTCATTAGTATATATGTGGAGTAGTACCCATCCTAACTCCTCTAGGAACAAGCCATTTATCTTTTCTTATGTTTTGACCAATTGATATACTGGTCAAGCTATTTACCTATAGTGTACGCATATTGCATGATGAGACTGCAATTTCGTAACGTGCGATTAGAAAAATAAACAATCACGATAAATATTTATGTCAAGTTAGAGCTTATTCATTACAAAAAAATCAGAATAAAGAAAAAGACGACAAAGGAAGTGTATGCAAATCGATAGAGAAAAAGTTTAGAAATATTGTTCATTATAGATAGAATTGTGCCTTCAACGGAGAATAATCCAAAGTGCATGAATAACACCTAAAACAAAGACAAATGATATGTAGATAAATATCCATAGTGACAAATAGTGTATTTTAATGAGCATTTTTATTTACCTGGTAACCACATTAAAATGGTTAAAATAATATTAATGATAACATTTTCGTTAAACTGGTTCTGATGTAAGAAAACAGCCAATGGTGGAAGTAAAATGGCAATGATAACAAGAAGGAGTCTTTCGACCATATTGAACACTTTTTTCTTCTGCTTCTTTTATTATCTAGAGTCAAACAGATTGAATGGACGAGAAAAACTATGTCATTTCTCTCTGAATGAATGCTTGTTTATCAACATGTGCAAAAGGAAAGTTTCGTAGATATTAATTATCGTTATTGGCTAGTTTCAACAAGCATTTTTCTGTGCCAGAAAAGTGCGAAAAACAAGCGTGTTAACTCCGTAGAGAGCAGGAAAATAAAATGATGCATTGAATAGAAAAATTAGAGTTTTTTTAGATGCAACAATCGAGGTCGAAATATATAAGAATCAACTTTTACAATAGAAAATTTTTCAGAATGAAAAGATGAATAACACGAAAAAGATTTTGTTTCTCATGTAACAAATAGCTTTAGGTGGCCACTGGTCTACTAAACGAATCTCCATTCAAATTAGACCGTTAGATCTCATCCTGACTGCGAACAACCTACTCAAAAATTGATATTATCTATCCTTTTAATTTCATTCTATGTAGTGGTTCTGTAATCTGCTTTCTTTTCCTTGAGAACTCTTCAGTTTTCATTTATACGTCAAATGAAATATTTTCTTTTCCTTTATCGAATAGTACATCGAGATATAATAAAATATTGTTTTTTTTTGTTTCTTTCAAATAACATTTTTCTCCTGTATGTCGTTTAGGAGGACACTCATGATAAAATACCTACGCTATTATGCTTTCAAAGCAGCGATACACATTTTAAATGTCTACAAAATGAGAGTATTGCATTGAGCTTAATTTGTGAGTTAGACATTTTAATCTAGCTTACAATGCTCTTGAGTGTTGAAATTGTTTCTGTTTGATTGATACTTGAGCGATTTTCATTAAAGTGATTAGACTCCTTACTACAAAACAAAAATCTATTTCAAACCAAAATAGAAAACTAAGTCGATTCTTACATCTCATCGAATCCTTCGACAACGTTTACGTTTGTCCAAAAACTCGGCTATGATTATTCTCAGAGTTGCATTGACAAACACTTATAATTTTTGTATAAAAGTAGAAAAATCTAAAATGACAGGCGAAAAAAACAAAACAAACAATTTTCCGATGGACTTGTTTTTCGAAGAAATTCAGAGGGAAAGCAAGACTGAATTTTTGGACCAACATAAAAATTGTCGAAGGACTCGATGAGATGTAAGGATCGATTTAGTTTTCTATTCTGGTTTGAAATAGATTATTGTTTTTTTAGTAATAAGCCTAATCACTTTAATGAAAATCGCTCAAGTATCAATCAAAAAGGAACAATTTCGACACTCACGAACATATTGTAAGTTAGACTAAAGTGTCTAACTCACAAATTAAGCTCAATACAATACTTCCATTTTGTAGACATTTAAAATGTATATCGCTGCTTTGAAAGCATAATAGGGCAGACATTTTACCATGAGTATCGTCCTAATCGACATACAAGAGATAATAGTATCTGAAAGAAACAGAAAGAACAATATTTTATTATATCTTGATGTACTTACTATTCGATAGAAGAAAGAAGAATATTTCATTTGACATATTAATGAAAACTGAAGAGTTCACAAGGAAAAGAAAACAGTTTACAGAACTACTGCATAGAATGAAATAATTAAGGATACATAATATCAATTTTTGAGTAAGTTGTTCGCAGTGAACTTGAGATCTGACTGTCTAATTCGAATCGCAAGTGGCCCCTAACATCATAATCGACATTCGGAAAAATAAAAAGTTCAATTCCGAGAGGTTGTCGATTTCATTGCTTAGTGACTTCTTTCTTTTAAA